TGAGGCATCATTTAACCATATGGTGTAGTAGCGCAATTTTCACGGGGACGAAGAGGACAAGAACACACGACACTCTTCGTCCCCGTGAAAATTGCGCTACTACACCATATGGTTAAATGATGTCTCACCAACTAGCCCAGCTCTCAACCCTACTAAGCACTGGAGGCGTCTGTAGTCGCTGGCGGAGGTTCTTAAAAGCAGCTTCCTCTTCGTTGCTCCATTGGAAAGCAACGTCTTCTCTCGTGAGGCGGGTCAACGGTGATGCGATGCATGCGAAGTCTGCGATGAATCACCTATATTACGCACATAGTCCGAAGAATTGTCTGACAGCCTTCTTATCAGTCGGCACCGGGAACTGTGCAACAGCTGCGATCTTTTCAGGATCAGGACGAACGCCTGCGTGACTGACAACGTGACCAAGAAATTGCAGCTCTTCATAGCAAAAGTGGCACTTTTCAGGCTTCAACGTCAAGCCCGCAGACCGTATGGCTTGTAAAACTGCCTCAAGTCTTTTAAGGTGCTGGTCAAACGTTGCGGCGAAAACTACGACATCATCAAGGTAGACCAAGCAGGTTTTCCACTTCAACCCAGAAAGTACGGTATCCATAAGTCTTTGAAAGGTAGCAGGCGCTGAACATAAACCAAAGGGCAAGACTTTAAATTCATATAAGCCATCTGGTGTCACAAAAGCAGTCTTCTCGCGGTCTCTTGGGTCTACCTCGATTTGCCAATACCCACTCCTTAAGTCCATCGATGAAAAGTAACGAGCATGTCGAAGTCTGTCGAGAGAGTCATCTATACGAGGAAGTGGATATACATCTCTCTTTGTCACCTGATTGAGTTTTCGGTAATCTACACAGAAGCGCAGGCTGCCATCTTTTTTTCTAACGAGGACTACAGGTGACGCCCAGGGGCTTTTTGAGGGCTGAATGACGTCATCTTCTAGCATTTTGTCGACTTGCTCTTGGATCACTTCGCGTTCCTTTGCAGCCACGCGATAGGGGTTTTGGTGAATTGGTCTCACCATGTCCTCGGTAATGATTTGATGCTTGGTGAGAGGCGTGCGGCCAACTCTTGATGTTGTCGAAAAGCAGTCTTTGAATTCGGCCAGTAGCTCAAGAAGCCTCTTTCGCTCGTTTTAGGCAAAGCAGTGCTAACGTCAAGGACTGGTGTCGAATCAAGTTTTGGCGCCTCGTCGACTACTGCCAAGCAGCCTTCTGCGTCTGTGATATCGTCGAAGTAAGCGACGGCCATGCCTTTTGGAAGGTGCCGGCGCTCATCACTAAAATTTGTCAGAAGCAAGTCCGTGCGTCCAGCGGCGACGCTGACGATACCTCTTGCGACGGAAATGCCGTGTGTGAAAAGGAGCGAGGTTATTCGATCTGCTACTCCTTCGCCGTCAAACTGGACAGCGGCTGCCACAGAAACAAGCGTGCATGACCGAGGAGGGAGAACCACATCGTCATCAGTTAGACGCAATTGGTTTGGTCGCGCCTGTGTACAATCAGGTGCGCCCGAACTGTTGCGGAATGTAATCAAACTGTCTGGGATATTGATGACGGCGCCGTACTCTCGTAAGAAGTCCATACCAATAATTAGATCCTTGCAGCATGCGGCGAGAACGACGAACGACGCAACGAAAGAAGAACCTCCTATGTCAATTCTCGCTGTACATCTTCCAGAGGGCATCAATAACTGACCACCTGCCGTCCTTATTTGAGGGCCTGTCCACGCTGTCTTCACTTTCTTGAAGCGGATGGCGAGGTCCAGACTGATGATAGAAAAGTCGGCACCGGTGTCGACTAAGGCTGTTACTTTCTGGCCGCCAAGAAAAACACTCAGGTCAGCGGTCACAATGTCGTCGCTCTCACGTCTTGTCGGATTTACAGCGTCATGTAATGGGGGCTTTTCGTCGTCATCTTCATGGCCTGCAACTTACCCCCGGAGGTCGCCGCCCTCAGTTTCCCCGTCGCGGGCTGGGTGACCTTCTTGCGTTAAGGTCTGCGGAGGTACGTCGGTGTGACGAAGGTGAATGAGCAGGAGAAGGAGAGCGGGATTGACGTCCCAAACCTGGCTGGCGGGTAGGTATTGCCTCCTCGTCAGAAGTACGGTATTCGTAAAAGTGAGAACGGGCTCCATGGAAAGAGGCGTCCTCCCGGCGTGGTATGTATTCTTCGTTCGCACGTCGATCGTCAGACCATGTTCGAAGAGGGCGGAACGGATCACTGCGGTGCCAGCAATGACGGGCAATATGACCTGCACCTCCGCAGTTAAAGCATATTGGACGTCGATCGATTGTGCGCCATGCGTCTGTTCTTCGGAGGGGTGGACGTCTGAACCTCCTTTCTTGCGACGATGTCCATGGTGCTGCTGTGGACGCCTGGTGGTACGTCGGTTGGCTTGGCGGTCGGCTCAGGGTCTGCTCTTGCCGTGGTGACGTAGGGGCCGTCGGCACTGGGTGATATGGCGGCGATGTACCAGATGGTGAACGTCGCAGAGCATCGGCATAGCTCATGGGACGGTGCTCGTCACCAGGACCAGTGGTAGAAAATGCGTGGCGGATTTTGTCGCGTACCAGTTTAGCGACGGACGCAACGGGGGTTTGAGCAACTGGATTTCGGAACTTTTGCAGTTCTTCGCGAACTATCTCCCTAATGAGGTCTCGCAGGGAGCTTTGATTCTCAGGTATGGCGGCAGCATTGATTGGGGTGCTGCTAGACATTCGATGATACTGCCGGCATCGTTGATGGAGCGCCCGCTTGATAGCCGTAGCCTCCTTGATGAAGTCAACTACGGTACTTGGAGGGTGGTGCAGTAGCCCGGCGAAAAGTTGCTCCTTAACGCCGCGCATGAGGTAGGACAACTTCCTATCTTCACTCATGTTCGGGTCAGCTCGACGAAAAAGACGAGTCATATCTTCAGCAAACATAGTAACGTTTTCATTGGGTTGTTGAACCCGTAGCTCGAACAGCTGCTGCGCACGGTCGCGTCGATCGACATTGGTGAACGTATCGACAAGCTGTTGTCGGAAGTCGCCCCAAGTTAACAGACTGGGTTCTCTGTTCTCATACCAAATTTTCGCACCGCCGTCAAGGTAGAAATAGGTGCGTGAGAGCTTTTCTTGTTCAGGCCACAGATTAATCTTGGCGACACGCTCATAGTGCTCAAGCCAGTCGTCCACGTCTTCATGTGCGCCGCCACTAAAGTGATAGGGAACCAGCGGTTGAAAGATGGTTACCTGTGAAGGCTGTGTTGGCGGGGGGCCTTGGGGCGCCGTTTGCGGACTGGTGTTGGCCATTTGGAGAGGTAATCGGCACTTGCGAGGTTCCGTGGAAGGCGTGAACTCTGGAGCGAGGCCTACCAGCCGCCGACTGAACCGGTGCACGGGAGTTGAAATGGGTGACATTGCGTCCGAGCTAGATGAACGGCTCCCAGTGGGAGTATGGAGCATTAGGTAGGGTTCCGTCCCAGCACTTCCACCAGTGTCACGGTACAGCGTGAACCAAAGGCAGATAAACGTTGACACAGGGACTCTCAGCAGCCAAACAGCAAGATCGCCTTCTTTATCTTCAATCAGCCAGAGCTCCACTACCTGGTGTCCGCCAAATCCCCTTATCATCGTTTTGGTCCACCAGTACACACGCGTCAATATAGTGGTTTTGGGACGTTAAACCCCACATATCAATCAAATCAAAGGTCGTATTTATGCGATTGTTTTCCTGACATCAATCCTGTCTAAAGCAAGTTGCAAGTTTGTTTGTCTAAAGCAAGGTGTGGCGCTGTGGTAGAATACTGGGCTGGCACCCAGATGACCCGGGTTCAAGCCTAACGTTGTGATTGGTTTGAAGTTTTTTTTTCTTTCGCGTGATGTAGTTACGAAAACCGGCAGCGGCAGCGGACAACTACGCCACTGTGCGAAACATGAGTTATTATCTAATTGCAGCTATCGCTGTATTGAATAAAAATACCTGATCGAGTTCAATGGTTGAAATATAGTCCTTCCTGCGATTAGTTTATAGCTGCTTTCAAATTTTGAAAGGCGGGCACTGGTAATCACCGTGAAGTGATGAAACCTGGCCAATTTATCTGGCGAAACAGAAACCAAAGCACGAAACAGCTCGTCTACCATGCACTTCACCCCACCGTGGTGGTCTAGTGGCTAAGGTACTTAGCTGCTGACCCGCAAGTCGCGGGATAGAATCCCGGCTGCAGCGGTTGCATTTCCGATGGAGGTGGAAATGTTGTAGGCACGTGTGCTCAGATTTGAGTGCAGGTTATAGAAGCCTAGGTGGTCGAAATTTCCGAAGCCCTTCCCTACGGCATCTCTCATAATGATATGGTGGTTTAGGGACCCACATATTAATCATACCATACACTTCGGCAACGCCTTCAACGACGACACTGTTACCCTCACACTTGGGGAGAAGCTTTAGCTAGCGTGGATAAGCGGCCACATAGTGAAGTGTCAAGTTTGATGGTTGATAACGGCGCGGCAAACAGTGTCGTCCTTGAGGGCGTCGACGTGAATGGTAGATGCGCTGTTTGGTGCATCGGTTTTGGTTTCGCCAGCTAAATTGGCCAGAATTCAACACTCCGCGCAGATTATCAGTGGCCGCCTTTCCGCATTTTTAAAATGTCTATGAAATATTCGGATGAAGCACTTTAGTTCAACCATTAGACACGATAGGCGATTTTCATTGATTAAAAATTGATTATCCTAAGCTAGTTAATTGCTGCCATAATAATGCCAGTACGCACCGCAAGATGCCGTCTATCAAAGTAAACGAGATGCCGCAGGTAGAATGCGGATGCCTACCTTCTCTAATTTTTAGATGATATTTGACACATTTTTTTCAAACACCCTGTATGTCTGCACCATTCAAGTTTGCGCTTGCACCAGTTTTTAAGCGTTTTGTTGTGAAGAAATTGCGTAGAGTCTTCCGGACACCTCGACCCATGATGAACTCCTTGTGCTCTATGCGAAGTAGCTGGGCACTCACCCTTCGACGTAGACCACTTTGTGACGGGCGTCACAATGAAAGGACTCGCATGGATGCTCACTGTGCAAAGTCTTGTTGTTCTTGATCTTCAGCTGCTCGTGCAGGCAGTCGTCTGCACACGCAAAAAGAGTGACGCCAAGTGGTGGGTATTGAATCTTATCATGCGAATTACAACTTGGTTATGTGCTATAGTTGCTAATATTGAAGCAAGCCGTAGGTGGAAGGTAGTGAGGCAAGAAGGACTCGTTTTCAAGGAGTATAAATTCAACCTTTCTGCCATTTTTAGCAACCACATAAAGAGGCGTCCACTTCTACCTTGAACAACGCACCGTGCGGTTGGCGTAAGGGCGCTTTTACGTGGAGTGCCTCTCCAGAACGCTTCAAAATCTAGCGCATAAGCGAAATGACAGCTGTAGGCTTTCGCCGTGTCATCTTCTACAGTGCGGCAGCTTGGTCATATTGCGTCTGCTTTTCAGTGAAACAAGCTTTTTGCTTGGAATGTGTACACGCCAATTGAGAGGCTGGCGTGGTTCTGAAAATGCGAAGCGACTGTTCCTATTCTTCAAGCGACCATACAAGTAGTAAATCTTCCCCACAGATGAGCAAACTTTCAGGGCACGCTGGCACTGCCATGTCTAAGCGATTTAGCAAAACAGAAAAATTACTCCCGGACCTCACATGAGTGTTTTGATCAGTTCGAAGTTGAGCGCAGTAAAATTGGTAACAGTTATATCCTGTAAGGCCGGACATTGCATCTCGCAATGTTCCAAAATTTTTATTAGTTACTCACCTGTAAGCAAAAGGGCGTCACCAGTCGGAAAATCCTAGAGAACTGATAATATAACATTTATGTGTCACCAATAGCGTTGCCTTCATGTGCTACACAATTTCACTCGCCAATATTTTACCCTTATGTACTGCTTAATTGTAACCATGCTTCAGCGTGCCATTCATGCAGACCGATTAAGAAATGACCTAATGAAGTTTTCAGCTGCACTCACACGGGAAAATCAGTGCACCAAAGAAGTGCTCCAGACAACTTTTTACTGCCCTGAGCATGTTTTGAATAAAGCTTTATTCCCTTTTTGTCTCTAGGCGACACAAGACCCTGTATCGCTTCATATATGCACGCGAAACGTTAGCCCACTGCGGCAAATTTCTTGTGAATCTTCAATTCGTAACGCAGTCGAACTTTCCTTTTTTTGTCACTGTGCAATCAACGACCGCATATGTACGGTTGTACTTCCTTTCAGTGCTGTCTCCTGACTGAAGGACCATGCAGAAAGTGCCGGAAGACGAAATATGATGCTTCTTAGATTTACGCCTGAGAGAATATTAGCAAAGAGCTATATCTTCGATGAGAAACCATGCTCTTGCAACTGTGAACTGAATTTTATATAGAGCGAGGTTTATTACTTCTACGATTGCTTACAGAAAAGGCCAAGGCGCTTCATTTCTCGAGAACTGCGCCAGCTTCTGAATTTTCAAGCGCACATTAAAGAGCGATGCTTGCTTCACCGCAAAGCAGCTGAAATTCGGTGGAAATGACGCGGCGAAGGGCGTGCCTACAATTGTCATTGCACCTGCCCACTAGTTTCAGAAGCGTCGGGGACAGGTGCTCCGACGAGTTCCGGCTGCACGGTGCAGTGTTCAAGGTCGAAGTGGGCCCCTTACGGAAATTTCACATATGACACTTATATAAGGTATATGTGGCCACATATAAATATATAGGCTAGCATATGTGACTTCTGTTTACCATATGTGGATGTACACCTTGCGAGGTCCGTTCATTTATGGGGTTATATACAGCCATATACGGCATGGTTCGTCCATGTAAGAAGTCAAGTCCGGCGTTATAAGGCACGGCCACGTTATATATAACCTATCCAGTATACTCTTTATGTGCCATTGCTCGCTTATAGGGATGAACCATATATATATATATATATATATATATATATATATATATATATATATATATATATATATATATATATATATATATATATATATATATATATATAAAAAGGAGTAATTCACACACAACGAACGTTTCAGCACAGTTTAGTCCGACGTTTCGACCGTGGGACCGGCCTTCGTCTGGGAATACAGGGCATAAAAATCGCGCGCTTATATATGTCAATATTCGAGACCCCCCCAAAAAAACACACATGCTCTTGTGTAACGAACAAGGCTCATCTGTATCAGCACAAAAACGGTTTTCAGTGATCAAAAATATATATCTATACAGCACTGTGTGATGTCACCATTTGTAAGTCATTGGCAGCTGATACGGCTTTGCGGGATACACGTGTGCATCGCGACATTACGGATGTCAAAGCTCTTTTCTTACAATAATGGTTCGCGTGTAAAATATACGCGTTGCCGATGATAAATAATTCTATTATATATATATAAGAATCGCTGTTTCTGTATACATTATCAGCACAGCGCACTCTCTGATAGAGAAGCAGACTAGCGTACACTTGTTATATTGTTGACCAATAAGCTTACGTGGAAGGAAGACACGTCAATGTGCCTGCATCTTCATTGATACCATCTGCTACAGTATTGAACTTGAATATCAGGTATGATTCCCGGAGTTCGCGATCATGGTTTGAGCGGAAACCAGATTCAAGAATGGTCGCTTTCATTTGATCGAAAGAGTGGCCCGGCATGCGAACGTGTCGTGATAGCGGTAGATGAGGGAATATATTTACATGGGATTTGTGGTTATTAAAGCGTATTCTGAATGGAGTTTCAGTATGACCAATATATTGTTTCAAACAGGCACTACATTCCAACATGTATACGGCATTATAAGTGTCGCAGTCGAAGCTACCACGAATCTTTAATTTAAAGTCCGAAGACGTGCTCGCGGCGTTTTGCGTGGTTTGCATGTGCACACACACTTTGCACCGTGGTTTGTTACAAGGTGCACAGCCACTCTCTTTACGGGTACCAATTTTAGATGACGTTAACATGTCGTGAAGGTTTTTTGACCGTCGGTAAACAACACGAGGCGGAACAGAAAAAATTTTTTTGAGATTATCACTTTCGGTTAAGATGTTGTGGTGCCGTTTCAATATAGCAGATACCTTAGGAGCTGATGATGAAAATGTCAGAACAAGGTTAGTTTGAGCAGAGCTATCGTTCCCGTCCTTTCCTTTCAGAATCTCGGTGCGGTTGAGTTGGTCAGCTCGAGTTATGGCATCGTCTATTAGTTTTTCCGGGTATTTTCTTTTTACTAGAGAACTTTTGAGCCTATTACAATTTTCAATGAAATCTGTACGGTCAGAGCACAACCGTTTAAAGCGGTGAGCCTGGCTATAGGGAATTCCTGTTTTGCAATGCCGGGGGTGGCCACTCTGAAAATGCAGGAGTTGATGTCGGTCAGTAGGCTTGCGGAACAGCTTCGTAGCAAGTTGTCCTTCGGAAATGGTGACTGTGACATCGAGAAAATTTACAGAAGTGCGCGAAAATTGGTGCGAGAACTTAATAGACGGATGGAAATTGTTAAACTTTTGAATGAAACCAAGCAGACTTGCTTCATCATGTGTCCAGACAAGAAAAATATCGTCAATGAAGCGCCTATAGTAGAGAGGATGAAGCATGTTTTTACCTAAAAATTCGCATTCCAGAATGCCCATAAAAATGTTGGCGTAGTTAGGGCCTACTTTCGTACCCATTGAGGTGCCGTTGGCTTGTACATAGTGAATGTTGTTAAACTCAAAATTGTTTAATTCAAGGATAAGTTTCAAAAGAGTACCAAGCGCTTCTTTATCAATAGTTTTATCTAAAGGGGAATTTTCATAGGCCTTTATTACTGCAGAAATACCATCTTTATGCGGTATGTTGGTGTATAGTGATGCTACGTCCAGCGTTACTAACATTGAACCAGATGGAACATGAAGATCTACAATTTCTTGAAGGAAATGGTTGGTGTCTTTGATGAATGACGGAAATGTGGCTGGAATCTTGTTTATGAGGGAGTCAACGTAACGAGATAAATTTTCGGTAACGGTGCCGATTCCGGAAATGATGGGGCGGCCGGGATTATTCTGCTTGTGAATTTTAGGAAGCATATAAAATCTTCCCGCTACGGGACTGAGTGGTACCAAAGAGCGGACTGTCTTTTCATCTAATTTACCATGTTCTAGTAAAGACGTAAGTGCGTCCTTAAGCTTAGATTTAAATTCGCTGGTAGGATCGGAGGGCAAAGCTTTGTAAAAAGTGGCATCTGAAAGTTGCCTCTCGGCCTCGCTTATATAATCAACCGCGTTGAGAATTACAATGGCCCCCCCTTTATCGGCTGGTTTGATGACGATGTCATGGTTTGTCGACAACTGTTCGAGAGCAACCTTCTCTTTTTTGGACAAATTGTGGCGGTAAGGCGCAGTTTTCTTATAGGCAGCGAAAATGTCGCGTTGTACAGCGTTTATGTAAATGTCAAGACATCTGTCGCGATGTGGTGGGGGTGTCCATTGTTTATATGTCGGTAGTGCAGGTCTGGTTTCATTCGGGCTTCGGCGGTCATGATAGTATTCTCTCAGACGCAAATTACGGGAAAAGTTGTGTAGATCCTTCAGAAGTTGAAACTCGTTGAAGCCACCTGAAGCGGGGCAAAAGTTGAGGCCCTTTGACAGAGCACCCATTTGTTCGTTGGAAAGAACTATGTTTGAAAGGTTTACAACGCTGCTATCTATTTGAGAAGACTGGTCTTTCGAATCATTCGAACGTGTTGCGGCGCGTTTGGTTACCTCAAATTCGCGTTCGTGCGTACATAAACCATCACGTAGAAACAATGCAATGTTTCAAGTCTTCCTTCGCGAGAGTTTTTAGAAGCTAGGAAAATTATTGAGAAAAGAGTTCGTTCCGAGCTACACGTATTCTCACTTACGAGCTACTTGAATGCTTCGGTGGTCCCGAAAGGTTTACAGATAAGATTTAAACCAGCTACTTCTGAACTTTCGGCCTCTAACAAAACCAAATGGCAAGAAGTGTTAAGTAAAGCGTCCTTAGATCTCATACCCATAATTATTGACCATTATAAATCTTGCACGCAAGACCTTCAGCATACAGAAGCTCGCCTGTTAAAGAAGCTAGCAGTGC